ACCTTACCAACAAAATTTTATTGAAATTACATATATATATATATATATATATAAACGGAAAACAGCATGCATAATTTTTTTGTTTTTCTCACAAAAGTATTCACAGGGTAGTAGTAGAAGTTACGTATTAAATAACAAAGTTTTAGAAAGTCATAAAGTGTTTTTTTTTTAACTACATTAAGCTTGATGAAACAGATTTTGAAACAATGAAGGTGATGTTAGCTACAATTATTATATTTAACTTGTATTTCTTATGATATCACCATCATCTTTTAGAAAAAACAAAAACACGAGTGAATAAATTAGTAATCCAATTAATCACCGAGATTGGGCTGCCAGCGACCTCTACTTTGATATTGTTACACCTATGTGCAAAAATAAAATAAAAACTATTTATCAAAGCAGGAAGATCAATCTACATTACATAAACTTAACTTTTATTAATAATTGACTGACAAACCCAAATTAAAAAAAAACATCAGGCATAGGTTTCCATCGTATGTGTTAATTTTTTTATGGCGAGTTTGATTTGAACAAGTACTATTTTAATTTTTGATACAGATATATGTATATTGATGATTGTAATAATCCATACAACTTTCTTTTATAATTAAAATACAATGAAATAAGGGTGTACAACGCTTAAACTGACGAATCGTGACCCCTTAAAAGTGTAATAATTGTGTTATACATCGCAATTACATTGGTAACAATTTCAATAACAACACTCCGTCATCACAAGTCCGTTTAGTAAGAAGAGTCTTATTGTGTTGAAGGTATCACACTTAGAGCGAAATAAATAAATTACATCTGTATAAATAGAGAAATATCGGTGAGCTCGTATAGTTACTAGCATTCATGAAAATCAATAAACAATCTTGAATGCATATTGGAGTTGGTTGTTAAAATATTCCAGATTTACAACAGAAATAACAAATCAACGGTTATACTAATAATAATGATCATTATTCACCTTTGGTACACCTTTTGAAGTATTTTTTTGCTATGCTTGACCTATTTCATAAACGCCATTTTATAACTGATAATCCTTCTAATAATGTAAACACAAACCTGATTTTTTGTTCCTTACAGCAAAAAGTTTGAAAAATCAACATTATTTACTTATAATGCAAAAAATATATACACACAGCGAAGATTATCCGGATAAGCGATTAGTCGTGGTTCAATTGTTTTCTATAGTTAATCTTACAACAAGTACCTACATGAAATTTAGGCATTAAATGCCTTCACGTTCGTATTAAACAGCATAGGACAACTAATCCATTTTTTATTGTACGCCTAATAAAATTTCGATGACACATATATAAGCTCTGATATAAACAACTAGAATATTTTCGTAAAAGTTACTCTATTCAAACTTAACTTTGAATTGTCATTAACATGAAGTAGAATATAAAAAAGGTTAGTACTTAATACATAGTAATACACAAAACTTGAAGATAACTGTTTGTATGGGTAAATTACCCTGATTTCACTAAAAATTTAAACTTATAATAATAATGGGAATATTAGGTTCAATTGAAAACTCTCAATATGCCAGGAGTGTCTAGCACCAGTATCGACAGACAAATTATTACCTACGTGAATTTTACAAGATTAAGTGTTAGATCTTTAACATTGTTAAGGGCCCAAGTTTCAAAACCAGAGGTTACGACCATTCACAAAATTACTCATTCTAACATTGGCTCTGCAGCCATGTGGCATCTCGTTCTAGAATTTTATACTTTCGTTTTTTTTTCTCTTATCCGGTTACACAATATAAACAGACGCACAAAACTATTCGAAAAGTAAACACTAAATTTCTCCCCCAAAAGTACGATTTTTTCCAGGCCCCATTCTTGCCCCACATCCACTATACGTTTGGTACTAAAGAACAAGGAACATCGGAGGGAATATACTTATTTAATTTACTTTTCAAAAGGTTAACTTAGCATAATAAGGGTATTCTTGTCTTGATTCACCTGGTTTGGAAAATTACCAGTTGTGATAAAGGTGATCTATTTTCTATGTACCTGGTATTGCAAAGTACCATTACTGATGAAGTTCATACACCGGTCTGTAATCTAGTTTCTATGTACCTGGTATTGTAAAGTACCATTACTGATGAAGTTCATCCACCTGTCTTTCTGTAATCTAGTATCTATGTACCTGGTATTACAAAGTACCATTACTGATAAAGTTCATCCACCCAGGTACCTAGAAACTAGATTACAGAAATGGTACTGCAAAGCACCATTACTGATAAAGTTCATCCATCAGTTTTTCTGTAATCTAGTTTCTAATGTACCTGGTATTACAAAGTACCATTACTGATGAAGTTCATCCACCCATCTTTCTGTAATCTAGTTTCCAATGTACCCGGTATTACAAAGTACCATTACTGATAAAGTTCATCCACGTGTCTTTGTGTAATCTAGTTTCTATGTACCTGGTATTCCAATGTACCATTACTTGTTTTGTAAAGAAACTCTAGTACTCATTCACCTTTTGGGGAAAGTAAAAGCATCGTTTTTAAACAAAACTAACCCAAAGGTGCTGCATTGTCTAGTACTATTAAGTACTATAAAGAATAGTTCTATTTTTGCTCTATTGGTAAAGTACTTTAATAAATCTTGAGGTGTCATGATCTAATAGAAATATCATGTTTGTAATCAATAAATCTACGTTTAAATTATTATTTCATAAAAATAATGAAATATATAAAGTTTATATTAAAGGGCAACCTTCACATAACCCTTCATTTATTTTACTGTCTACTTAAGTGCACTAAATTTTAGGAGTTCAGGTTTTAACCTTCACTGAAATTATCCTACTTACTCAATGTGTAAATTAAAGGTTGAAATGTTGAGGGTGATTATCTAACTGTATTTTACACAAGTATCTGCATGCTGTAGGAATTAATCAAACTGATTTTTGATGACCATCACTGAAACTATTGGACATTTTTATTTAAATAGAAAATTAAAGATATTATACGTTTCACAATATAATGTAGCCATTACTTACTCTTTCAATACATCCTTGCAATTATTGTTTGTGAACTTGCAGGATGTAACAAAGTCTGGATATGGAAAAAGCCTTTAAGTTTGAGTGAATTAAAACAATTTCTTGTAAGCTGTGTAGTATCACTACATAGGTGGATGCTGATAGGTGACTGGAATATGCTTTTGCATAAAACTCTCTTACAATAATGAGACGATTAATATTAAGCAAACAAAAATTATGAATATATCGTACATTATCAAAGGGAGTTTTGATATAATTTCTTTGAAGATATAATTCTTGGAAAAATTAAGTAAATAAAATCAATTCATTGTAAAAAAAACATAAGTTTAGTATGCATTTATAAGATTATAATAAAGAGTACAATAGGGCTTGGCATAGTTTGGTTGTTAGGAAGCTTGACTCACAAACTGAAGGTTATGAATTTGAATCTCTATTATCAAACATGCTCATTCTATATTGTTGCCAACTGGGCCAGCCACTCAAATGTGAAATTTCTTGGCTTACAAAAATACCGGCCACCCCAAACAGGTTGTGATTAAGGTTATATAAGAAAAACAAAATTGTTATTTGTAATTTTTTTTTTTCCATAAGTTCAGTTTTGAGAAGAAACATCACCAACAGTTAGTTTGCACAGGGCTTCATCAGACATGGAGTTTTAAAGTTTGTATTACACATTATAGTTTGACAGAGCAATGTCAAGTAGCGAATATTCTAACTTTGCTGTATTTCTATTTTGAGTCAGGATCTATAACAGTGATGTTTTTATCAGTTTACAATTCTAGAAATGTTTTAACTTTCTGACACCCATTGCAAAAACAAATTAGCAAAATACACAGAACCACAGTACATGTACTCACACATATAGGTATTTACCTCTGCATAACGAATGAACATGAAAGTTTGAAATTTTTTCAACAAAACTGAATGAAGAAATCTTAACAGTCAAATACTATGTAGACAAGAAAGAGAGGCTACATGTAGTTATTGCAACAAAACTGTTCTTTTTTCATTGTCTTTAAGATTCTGTCTCTCCACTGTACCTCCCATGTCATATCAAAGCATTGCAATAAGGCCATCAGGAACCCAGGTCTAACATTCATCTAGGGATGAAGAAAGAACAAGCAAGTGACAGCCAACTAAGGCTTCTTCAGAAGGCCACTTCCTAGTAATTTACATTAAAAATTAGTAAACGAATGGGTGAGATAAGTAAAGGTAATTCCAAGATATGATAAATACAGAATACTGTTGAGTCCAGCTGATAATCTCTAGTAAGGTTTACTATAAAAGTAAACTTTGACTTAGTAAGCTGAACATCAAAGACCTACATGAAGGAATGATAGAGAACTAGGATTTTCAATGTCATACATATTGCGATATTTATATATATTTACATTAAGGTATTTAATGGATATTGCTAGAGAATCTTGTATTGAGGATGTCAACCTGCACTTTAACCAAAGTTTATATATTCGCAAGTTTTGTCTCTTCAAAATCTTTCATTTTAAACTAACAAATAAAATTCTTAAAAGCACTTATTTTTATTCATATCACCACAATTTCTGGCTAATCAATTTTGTTTATATCTCCAGGTGATATCAGTCAATCATTGACTATTAAGTTTAGTTTTATAATGGTTCTAAACTCCAATCATCCAAAGCTAATCATATTCACAACCTTTAGCTTAGTTTTACAAAAGAATGACTCATGGTTTAGTATCTACATCACGCAAAATGAAAACAAGACCTATTACAAATAATGCATAATAAAATGATTAACTTTCTAATGAGCATTGTAACGTTTCTTCTTATCAGTACAGACATCTTAAATGCATTTATTTTATACAGCCCTTTAATTTACAATGCGCAAGAGCAATATAAGATGAAACTTTTAACATTAAAGATTTACAGCACAATAATTCTAGTCCCCTAAATTCTAATTTTTGTTTTTTAGTCTTTTTACTGTAATAACTTTGTTGTTTATAACTAATGTTAAGTATACTCTGGTTTCAACTGATTATCTTATCTATAATGTACCTACAAGGCTCAAATAATTTACCATACATGCTTAGTTTTTGTTGTTGTCTTTTTATATTCCTGGAAGATAAAGGCAATGGTATGAAGATCCGAGATCTTTTGATGAGGATGGTTGTATACATCAGCATGACATCCACAGTTTTCAAGGTTTAAACAAGTATAACTGAAATCTCAAAATCAACCAAGGATAGGATGTGTAACATACAGTGTTCTGTAGAGTTTAATACAGGAATAATCAGCTAAGAATTAAACTGTTCCAGTGTTAGAAAAAAGAATGTCAGATGAAACTAAATAACTCCAGGGTTAAAAGTACCTAGGTCTGAGAAGGTATAACAGTTGATCGTTGTCCAGATACACTGGATTTAAAATGTATCAGCTTACCAAGATTTTACATGTATAAAATGAGTGGAAAAGAACCATATAGTATTAAAAAGATCATGAAAAACTCAATATAAAAACAAGGAGAAAAAAAAGAAGAAATGCAAGCCTTTCATTATGTTCAGCATTTACCAATGGGTCAAGATAAAAGTGGGAGGAAGAGGGAAGAGACAGACAGCACTTCACATTCCTAGATAACCTCCTAGAGTAGAGACCAAGATCACCACCAAGATGACAACACAGATCATGATCATTATCTTTTTCTGAAAAACAAACAAGCAGAAAATGTTGGATTAAAAAAACTTCTTAGAATATAAAAAATATAACTGATAGAAATATTTAAATGATCATTAAAACATTAAAAAAATGTAGGCTGATAATGATGTAACAAATACCAAACCACTGTGGCTACATAACTTGTATTAGAACCAATGGTCACTTTCAAAAAATAATGGATAATTTTCTTTTTTCTTAACATGGTTCACATTATTCTGTATTCATACTAATATTTAGTTATTAGAATGAATATTTCCACTCGCATGACTATATATATTACATCTTATCTATGTGTAAAATAAAGAATTCCACTCACATGACTATATATATTA